AAAGAGCGGGAACATGAAGGCAAATCAGGGAGCGCATGACCTGCAATTACGCAGAATTAGGCATGGCGTCACACCACATTTCAGTTACTGCAAACTAATCTGTTCCACGTCTTCCCACAGAAATCACACAAACTCTGCTTAAAGAAGTATTGAGAAAAAGCCAAAGTGCTGAACTGTTCAGTAACGTTAAGACCATCCTGCTTTTCATCGATTCATAGACCTACTTTCTTCCTAATTTGTTTTCTGCCCTAAAGTTATTGATTATAAAAGCCCTTCCTATCCTCTTAAATCCATCAGCACCATTAGCTCTTTGCTTATAGGCTTATTATGTTTGAAAAGATGCAATAGTATTTCTATATTACATTATACAGAATATGGAACACTAATTCTATTTTTAATGATTTATTTTAGTTTAGGTGGTTTTTTTTTTTAACTACTTTAGTCACTTTAAACACTTCAGTACCCTGGATTTTCCTTATCATAGAAGATATGTCTATTGGCCAACCTTCAGTCCTTCCAATAAAGGAAATGGTTTTAACGACATTAAAAAAGGCCTACATAATTCTAGCTTTGCTAGAATTTGTGTTTGGCTTTAGGGTTTCCACAGCAGGCAGATTAATTTCCCCTCACCCAGTGAATGAAAAGCACCAGAACATCTGATCACTACCTAAACTCAAGGTTGGTGTGCAAAGATCACCCTCATGGCCAGAGAGCAATAGCAGTAGAAAGAAATGTTTTCTTATGTTACAGGTTCAAGTTTCAAGATCCCAGAGAGCTGGTAAGCAATGCATTGAATACAGATTTTGAGGAACTATATAGAGGTCTTCATGACATCCTCTTACATTTTCTGAAACACTTGATGCTTGAGACAAAGTGTCCTGAGGCATCTGGGCAAGACATTGCTGTTGAGAAATCACCCATTTCCCAAATCACATTCTGACTATTCTGCATAAACATATGAACAGAAACACACATTAGTAGAAAGATCTTTATGCTCTTTTCAGCAAAGGCTCCTACTACCATCACAGTATAGAGCAAAGAGTCAGAAACAGCAAAGTTGTGTCTGGAGTTCCCAACAGTGGGATGAAGGAAAACCTTTTTTAATACACTTATCGTAAATACTCATTCCCAACAGCGCATTTCATTGCCTTCAGACACCAGTAATCCCTGAGCACATAGATGAACGCCTGCAGGCGTGTGCCGTTTTATCAGAAGGCAAGCCTGCGCCCTGCCACACACACTGCACCCCAATGCCGTGGCACGCACACACGCACGCTCCCCAGCATTAGGAGCATGCCATGCTCACAGAACCACACGTGGTCTGTCCGGGTTACACATGCTTTCCACTCCCAGAGCTCAGAAATTAGTTCAGAGATAGAGGCAGTTGATAATCTGACACACACAAGAGACACTCCATGGGCATGAACACTGTTAAAATGAGGGGAAATGGACAATAAGATCCCTCTGGAATCTTCAACATCTAGAAATTATTAGAAAGTCCAGAGTGACCTAGACCCATTCCCAGCAGAAGTCCACGTGCAAAAGTAGTAACAAATACTCTCCAAAGGAGACCTAGTGCTTCCGTACAATATCACACCATTTCCTACAGGCTTACTGCAGATCGTTCTGTGTGCTGCTGAGGAGTAGAAGGCAACACAATGAAACTCCCAGGCACTGTGGCATTTCAGCTGCCCAGAACTACTTACTTCAGTTTACTTTCATGTTGCAGTTGTTTTTACAACAGCAATTGGCTCTGCCCAGTAAAATAACTGCACCCATTTACGTTGTTTCCAAAAGGAACATCATGCTGAGACAGTCAGAATAGGAACCACAGAGCAAATAATTATTGTAACTTCTGCCCAGCATAGCCCCCATTTCCTGAAAGGCCAAGTTTGTTTTAGTGCATCTCCTTCCATCAGCCTTTTTTTCTAAACATGAAATTCCCCAGGGAACCTTGACTAAATACAGAAACAGATGGTGACACCAGAGAAACTGCCCTCACATCACTCCCCTCTCCCTCAATACCACACATTTCATTGATCAGTTGAAAGGATTAAATTGAGCAGAAAACTTCCAAGAACTGCCAGGCAGCAAGGCTGAACTTCCATGGGAGAAGCAAGGGTAGCAAAGCAGAGCACAGCTCAGGGCTGCAGAGCAGTGACCTGCCGGCTCGGGGAGGTCCCAGCTCCCATAGGTACCACAGACAACGGAAAAAACCCTGCTCTCCTAGCACAAGAGTAAAAAACCCCTCAATTTTCAAACTGGGATCTAGAAAAGCTCACCTGCACCCAGAGACAAAACAGTTGAACAAACTGAAGCAACAAGCAATCACTGATTTGAAAAGAACACCTTAAAAGACAGCTAAGGAACAGCAGAGCGATGATTTCATGCAACTGCTTTCCATCGAATAAAGCTGGCTGAATACTGATGATACCATTAACTCAAGCCCCTGATATAACGAGAACAGCTCATCCCTCCCAATTCTTCTTTTAACTAGGAGTTTATTAGGGGGATTTGTTTTGTTTTTAAGTGGAGCAACAACAGCAGGTACTGAAAGAAAGAATAAAGTAGTAACGTAATGTCCCAGAGCTCCTGTATCAAGGGCAGGTCATTCGGATGTTAAACAAAGTCTCAGAGACCAGCATCCTTGTTCCTACAGCCTCAGTGACAATCTGTCCATGAACCAGCCTTGCCACAAAGTGCATAGCAAAGCACAATCCTGAAAACTGATCCCGTAACAGGGGGTTGTAATTTAAAAAATAAAGTTGCTTGCATACCAAGAGTGGTGTATCATCAGTACCGCCTCACGCTCACACCATGATGTCTTCCACCGCGGACATTAAACTCTAAGATGTCATTTTTCTCTGTTCACCTAACACTTGGCGCTTTGGGATCCTAGACTTGGAAATAAATAACACTTCCTGCTATCCATGATATCAAGAAATCAACTGAAGCCATAGATTTCTTTGGCCTTCTGTGCCTTTTTTAGGGTGACAGATCCCAGTTGTTCTCTCTTGTATTGACACACCTGTATCTATCTCAGCAGATGCAGCGTGCTGTGTCGGCAGGGGAAGGACAAGGGACATCTTGTACACTGTACCCCAGGGAAGGCACAGAGGCAGACAAGCAGTGCATGACCCTTGCTGCAGCAGCAAAGCACCCATGAACTAAAGCAGAGCATGTAGCCACCAGCAGATACACCCTCCTCATCAGCTACCCAGCTACTGAAAGCAAAGTAGGCTCCCAAGGACAAGACATAGAGCTCTGTACCTGCAGGTGCCTTTGCCTCTCCAGAGCCTTCCAGCCCAGCAGGAGACACGTTCAGGGATTGACAAAGGAAAGCCACTGCTCTGCAACTGTACCGTGCTTCAGAAACAAATCATCATATCCTCTTCTCCTCTTACTTGTGTAGTCTCGACTAACCTTGAATATTCATGTTCCCCCAGGATGTTCTCTGTCTTCTGGAAACTGCTTCTTCCAAGGCACAAGTGAGAACAAGCTGCCCCAGCTGTACAGAATTTGAGCAGACAGTTAGCAGTGCTGCCATTTTTCAGACAGCACTCACACGCTCCATTCCACCTTGAGCACGAACCTGCATAACTCTCAGGAGTAACATGCTCGGCAGGGGCTACAACCAGGATGAGTGCAACAGTTTTCCAGGAGTTATTCAAAGAGGAAGAATGCTTTTGGTTGGAAGACATCTTCCAGCATACAAAACATGCACACAGTTGTCCACTATTTCCATTACAGGATGTTTTTGTAATGCTTTATTGTGAATGAACACGGCTTTCTTAGCCTCCAGATCCACCTGTAAACACAATACTATGAGAGGCTCTTGCAGTGCCCTGGTTTGGGTAACTATTCCCAATCCCTGCTGCAGCCATTCTGCAAGGGGCAGAGATGTCTCAAAAACATACAACCCTGCACTGTGAGTCCAAGCCAAAAATCTCTGTGGGTGCTCTAAGTTTTTCAGCTATAATTATTGTGCATATACATACCTTTGCCCTCCTGGCACACTGAGGCTGTTCCCTGGGTATTAGGCATCCAAGCCTTGTGTTTTTCCTAGCGATGGATCCACACACTCCTAGACTTGGAAGCAGCATTGCGCTAAGCCAGCTCTCTTCCCAGCCTCAATAGCCTTTGTGGTTGTAAACCACATAGCAGAGATTGGGCTAGAAAGGCCCTTCATGATCCAGACAAAGCCAGGATCAGGTTTCAATAAATGCACTTTTCAACAGATTGATCTAGATGATCATGAATAAGT